GGGGGGGGAAAGGGCTGGGAGAGTTTCTGGCTTGTCTGGAAACAGCAAGACTAATTGCCATGCGCTTCCGGTTTGAAACTGGCAGCAGACAACATCTTGAAAATGAGTCACTGCGGCTCACAAAGAAACTCTGTGGTTTTCTCCTCAGGTTTATGTATTTGCTCTTTTATAGTTTCCTTTGTAGTCTTCGGAGAAAGAGAATGGGGGGAAAGGGCTGGGAGAGTTTCTGGCTTGTCTGGAAACAGCAAGACTAATTGCCATGCGCTTCCGGTTTGAAACTGGCAGCAGACAACATCTTGAAAATGAGTCACTGCGGCTCACAAAGAAACTCTGTGGTTTTCTCCTCAGGTTTATGTATTTGCTCTTTTATAGTTTCCTTTGTAGTCTTCGGAGAAAGAGAATGAGCGAGGTTCCTTCACTCTCACCCTCTTCCTCCTTCAAACAACCCCCCCCCTTAATACTTACACCATCAGCTCGAAAAGAGAGGGGAGGGGAGAGAGTTGGAAAGTTGTTTTTGGATCTGGCTTTCCTGAAGGTTAGAGGGACTCTGATGCTGCAGGAGGAAAAAGTTCCCTGAATTTTCCACTGACTGCAGGAAGAGAGCCCATTTAGTCATGGCTAAGTAATGTCTGCACACACCAACTAATCTCATTAGGCGTTTCCGTTCCCTAACACAGGAGGGTTTTGTGAAGCCCTCTCAGCCTTTCTGCCACTACTGTTGAATCTGAGACAAGTTATATCTTTATTTAGTAGGGGGTGGGTGCGGGGTGGGGTCCAAGCTAATTTAATGCTGCATCTTTTGGGTCATGCGATCCTGAATGTCTTTTTTAATGACAGCTAAAGGAGACAAAGGCTTCATTTTGATTTTCCTAAAATTATGGCTTTGCATTTGTAAACCTTTTGTTGTTTTTACAGCTTTGATGTACAGATGTTTGATAATTCCATGCATCCTCACGAGGAACCATATAAAGTCATAAAAGGCCACAAGGATGGATCTTCTGATTTCCTTTTGCCTTCCTCCCCTGTCTGTTTCAGTGCAGACAAGACAAAACATTAAGACAAAATGTTTGTGCAAAAACAAATATATTGTAACCATATTTGGCCAAATTATTTTGTCATAATGAACACATACAACAATGTGTCATTATTTTAAATCATTTATAGTATTTACATTTAAACATAAATATTTAAGACCTGTCAATTTATTTAAATTCTAACTGAAGTATGTACTTAAATATTTTTCCTAACTCATGTGCAGCTGGCTGGTGGCAGCCCTGTCCAGGGCTGAATATATGTGCTAGTTTCATAAATGTCATTTTGCACATGCAACTGAAAGATGATGAGACATCTGGATTTTTTTTCCAGCCTTGATTGCATCCATGCATAAACATTACTATAAAACTCGGATACTGTTAAATACACATGGGTCGTGTCATCGTCAGTCTATTATTTGTGTCTATTTTGTAGGGTTTATTTTCAGTTTTTCTTTTCCATTTCCTTTGTGCTTTCAAATCCTGGCAAGGTAAATATTCAAAAAAAATAAGATAAATATTTTGTACTAGGGATAGCTTTGGACCCAGTATTGTTCCTGGAAGTTCAAATGGCTGTAGCAGCTGAAAATGATTTTTCTCAGTTAAATCTTTGTAAGTCTCTAGGGACCAAGCTTCTTGGACCAGTGGTTCCCAGCCTTAGGTATCCAGATATTCTTGGACTGCTACTCCTAGAAATCCTGATCAGCACAGCTAGTGGAGAAGGTGTGTGATTGGGTTCGTTAAAGATCTTAAGCAATTCCTCTTTTTTGACGGGAAATGACGTCTGAGTCTCATTTTGAATGTTATCAGATTTATTTAATTTAACATTATGTGAGTCTACAACAACTTCTATCGGTTCAAAACAACCCAGATCTGGTAACCGTCCAAATTGTGAGGATGATAACTCTGTAAATTGACAAAATTCATTGAGGGGCTGGCCCAAAACGTTCCCAATCGGTGGGCTTCCTCAGCGGAGCACTCCGGACGGCGCATATTGTCCCACAACAAAGATGTCTGGCCCAATCTCCCTCGGGTGGTGGATGGTTGAAGGAAGGGTCCGACTGAATCACTTTCCTCAAGTGACCTTGTCCCCGCAGAAAGACCATGACCGTCCATTCTGCGGCTTCTGCTGATGTCCCCTTTTCTTTAGACTTGTCTGGGTCAGGTAGCAAACCTCCTGCCTTCAAATGACGGAAGTCCTTTAACAACCTGTGCATTCTGTCATATTCGTATTCTCTCCTCTCTCCTTCGTTTTCCTTCTTCTCCTTCTTTTTCTCTTCCCTCAGTATATTGAACTGTCTCCTCCCACTTTGTTCCCCTATCTCCTCCTCTCACACAGGCAAAATTAATTCCTCCTCCTCTTCTCCCTCCCTCTCTTCCACTAGACAGATTTCAATCTTCGCCTCTTTCCCCTTTGATTCCCTTCTTTTCCTTTCCTCCACATTCAACTCATCACTTTCTCTTGTCTTCCCTGCTTCTATATCTCTCTCCTGTTCAGACGTCTCCCCATCTTTTCTGGCTTTCCACACCTTGAAATCAGTCTGTCCTCATTTTTAGATTTTTCTCCCCTTGGCATTTTCTCCCCTATCCATTTTTCTGTTTCTGCAACTTTTAGAGTTCTCCCAAGGCTATTAGTACCGTATCTCCCTTTCATGTATCTTTGGTTACATTTTGTATGCATAAGGACTTGGAGAAATGAGTTTGCATATAGTAAAGTGGCAGAATTGGTTTCTTTGGAGCTTGGATAGATTGTATTCTGAAGAAAGAAAATATCACAGAGTATGTTTTTCAGTAGTTCTCTCTGGTTTTTAGATGTGCCTGAGTATACTTACTGTTACTGAGCAAAGTCATGGATATACCTAAAATACAAACTTAAAACTGAGCAGGCCACTTTTTAATTATTGAAACAATTCTATGTCACTTTCGCACGTAGTTCAAACTCCTTAGAATTTGTGTGCTTGTCTCTACAAGAACTGTATGTGTGCAGCATTCAGATAAGTATTTGCTATTAAATTTTGTGAATTCTACTAATTAATGTCATTGGCATATCATCTCATAAATTCTCTTTCTAGCTCATTATATACATGGGGAATGAACTGTTCAGGTCAATTATGAAGTCTCAACCAGTGGAAATCATAGATTTCTCCCTCTCAATTATTTCCTCTAATTTTGGACAATTCACCAAGCAAGCATTGTGCACACACTCTTAATATGCATGGCCTAAGTACTAAAACTTGGATTTTTATACAGTTACTGCTGAAATACTTAGAATACTGGCTTTTGCAGTCAACACACAGCTCCATGATTTATTATTTGTTGTGGTCTAGAATTTCAGAACACGATCTACAGAATGCAGAAAGTGTTACTTCTTATGTTTTAAGAAAGAAAAGCACACTCTTCAAAGCCTGGCTATCCTTCCTGTTCACTAGTGGGAAAACAGAATCAAATTTGTCAGTCAATAAAGTTGGCCAAGTCTTATGAAGTCCCATTAAATTTCCTGCCTGTGTCATCATTAAATAGTTTTCTTCATGCTTATTGGCTGCCTGGTGGAAAGGACAATACATCTGATGATGCACATGCTCTCTTCCAAGTGCATATTAGAGGCACTTCATGCAAGTTTGCAATTAGAATTCTGGAATACATAACTCCAAGGGGAACTCAAACTGTAGAAGTTATCGTTAACCAGCTTTCCCCAACTTGGTACCCAATCAATCTTTCCTAATATTGGCGATTGCTGAAAGATTCAGATTATCATCCAAAACATCTTGGAGAGTCTGAATTAAATGCTTGTGGCTGAATTTTTATTCATACTTAGTTCTCAGAAAGTTCCACTAATCTCACTGGACTTCATTATTGCATAGAA